TATTTTTTAGAGAGAGGGAAGGAGAGAGAAGGGGGGAAGGGTAGAAGCAGAGAGAGAGAGAGAATCTTAAGCAGACTCTATGTCCCGCGTGGAGCCAGACACGGGGCTCCATCTCACAACCCTGAGATCATGACCTGAGCCGAAAGCAAGTCAGACACTGAACCGACTGAGCCACCCAGGCACCCCAACATATATTTCTTTTTAAATCTTTTCCTGCTGTACTTAATTAATGTAGGATATTCTTCCTTTTTCTGGTAATTGAATTATTGCACATCATATCCCTTCAGATCATTTTTGTCAGGGTAGTTATACATCTTAGTAAAATAACAATATATGCACGCTCTGATCTCTTTCTGTTTTTCACCTTAAAGGATCTTCAAAAAACCTGCTGCTTATATTTGAGCTTAATTATGTTCACGCTTTAATCTTTGAGACTGAACAATCCATTGATCTCCTGATGCTGCAGTTTGGTGGAATATGCAAATGGGTTTCTAGCAATTGAGGGTTTTTTTGCAAGTTTTATTTTGAACTAGAATTGATGCTAGTTATCTGCTAGAGAAAAGTTAGACTTTCATGTAACATGTGGAGTTTGTCGATTTATTTTCCTTAAAAGAAGGTCTGGATGACTTCTGAGATATGACAGTTTTTACAAAAGAATCCTGTGAACGTCTTGTTTTTGTGCCTTTTTAAAAGTGGTCCTTGAAGATGGGGAACTGGAGAGGTACTTGTAACTACAGTAAGTTTGCCAAACCATTTCCCTTGTAACTCTCAGTTTTCATATACTCATGGCATTTTGTTCCAACATGTTATATTTAATCTTAGAACAAGTATAGATGTTTTGGTATGAGTTGTATAAGACACATAATAAATTTCATTTTAACTTTGGATAATCCATCAGGAAAGAGATACTTGTGGCATCTTAAAAGTTAAAACAAAACAAAACAAAAAACCCCAAAAAACAAGACAAAAAAACCCCCACCAAATACACAATTCTAAGTACAATGGAGTCAGCTCTTCATTCTCCTTGTGTGGGTTCTGTGTGTGGAGCTATTACGGATGAAGGGAATCCTGTGTGGAGCAAGTACACAGAGTGACTGCATTATAATTGCTTATTTATTTATTTTCATATTTTACTTATTATTATATTTATTATTTACTTATTTGCTTCTATCATTTTACCAACAGGTACCGGAAGTTGGAGACTATACTTGTATACAACACTATACAAGTGTTGCCAGGTTGGTTAGACTTTGATTCCTCCATTCTTTTCCTAGCTATTGAACTTTGCTGATTCATGGCTTACTGAGATGCCAAAGTTAATTTATAAGCTTATTAATGCTCTATAGTCCAGAGAAGCATTAGTAAATTAACTTGGCAATTTTCCCACCCCTTGGAGCAAAATGGGATTTCATAGGACTGTCGGCAGTGGGGGTGCCAACTGGGCTTCTCTATGTAGCTTTGCATTAAAAGCATATAACATGGAAGGAGTGCTACCGCCCAGAGCACCTTTCACCTTATTTCACTCATCATTCTATACTCAGTACCTAGCATACTTAGTACCTAGTACACGATATATATGTAGTATATGCTCTCCATTTATTTGCGGACTCTTCATTATGATGAAAGAAAAAAAGAAGAATGATGGATCATGTAAGAATTTTTTGTTTTAATTATATGAACTACTATATGTTACTCACTAATTATATTATGTGAAGAATCTGTGGAAAAGCTGATAAATGAGGTCATTCGATCAGTTGGGTAACTGTAATGAGCACTTGTTGTGCCTGAAGCAACTAAGCCTCTGTTGGGATGTCTATGTCAAGTGCCTACCCTTCTGGGTTTCTAAAGCACCTGGTTCAGGTCCTATGTTATTTTTAAATGACCTTACCCTACTTTGCCGATAAAATGAAGCCATTGCACTGTTTTCTGCAATGTCTACACACTTCCATACAGTTACATTAGTAATTTCTCCATTCTTGCTCAGCACAATGCCAGAGATGAATCTCCACCTGCCCCTGGACTCCATTTTTTCCCAACATTTTTGGAGACCTCCCTCCTTTATGTCTTTGACCACTTCTGGTCTCCTAATTTCTTCCATCAGCATTTAACCATACTCAAATGTTTATCATCTTTCAAAAACAAAATTAAACCTCTATCAACTGCTTCCAGCCATCATCCCTCCTCTTTCCTCCACTCTTCAGGCAGACCTATTGAAAATATTCTTTTTACTTATGTCCTATCAAGCCTAAACTTGCTTCCATCTGGCTCCCACCTCCACTGTTTCTCTGAAACTGGTCTGACCAAGCCAATGGTAATCTCCCTCTTGCTAAATTCATTGATTTAGAGCACGTCTCACTTCACTCTCTGTAGCACTTGACACAGATGAGTCCTCCCTCTTTCTGAGATCCTCTCCTCCCTGAATTCTATGATACCATACTCTCAAGGTTATCCTCCTTCTGTGCCCCTCTCTGTCTCCTTCACAGGTTCATTTTTCTCTTCCCATTTCTCATGTTGGTATTCTGCACAGTTTTATTCCTACTCTGTGTTCTTATCCACTTCCACGGTCTTAGTAACCATGGATTTCATAAATTAATGACTTCTTGTTCCTCATCTTCAATCCAATGTCCAGATCCAAAACTTTGTCACTTCAGACAGCTCCACTTGGATATCCCATTGGCACCTCAAGCTCAACATTAAAAACAAAATTCATCATCTCAAACATTCTTTTGGCTGTGAATCCCTCCTTCAGTAAAAAGCATCAATATCAATCCCCTTGACCAAGCCAGACATCCAAGCAGCATTAATCCCTCCCTTATATTTGGAGGTTTCCAGTTTGATGTATCTCTCATTAGGAGACATTTCCTAACCCCCATCCCCCAGATACAGTACCCTGCTTATGTGCTTTCCTATTTCTCTATTTCCCCCATCCTAACCGTGTCCTCACTGTATTACCCACTCACAGGTTTGCATTCCCCATTGATCTATAATCTCCTTGAGGACTTGGACCATATCTAAACCAATATCTGTTAATTTTAAGGATCTAGTATCTAGCACAATGTCTGGCTTAATGTGATAGGTGCTTAATAAATATCTGTTGAATAAAGATTTCTGGCACCAAATGCAAAGGAAAATGGGTGAAAAAAAAAAAACCCTACAAATAAATAGAAGACCCAGCATCCGCTCTAAAAAGCAGCTTATCTGGGAATTTATTAAAGATTCAGATTCTGTAGCCCAATCTAAGATCCACTGAACTGGAATTTCTGGGGAGGGCCTGAGCATCTGTATTTATAATAAATATCTCTGGAGAATTTCATCACGAGGCGAGTTTGCAGAACTGTGTTCTAAAAAAATCGCATTCTATTCAAGGGTTAGAAAACATATAAATACATATGAGAAATGAGAGTGACATGAGCACTGCACCTATTTTGTAAGTATTGGGTGAAGTAATAACACTTTTGTATGCGGTACCGAAATTGGTATCTGGCAGGAATAGGAGAAGGATAATAAGAAAGTGGAAATTCATGCTCTGAAAAAAGGGAGGCTGACCTTTAGCAGTCATGATAAAATGGGAATCATACATTTATGGGAATTTCCATTAAAATAAAATCTTTCAGATTTGAATGTAGTATTGCTTTAAAATGTCTCTTACTCAAGCCATACTGAGAAATACAATCTTTTATTCTTCAAAGGTATTTCATTATTAGACATGAGGTAAAAAAAAAAACCAAAAACCAAAAAAAACCCCTTCAAAATGGCACTAAATTCACAGTCCCCGTATTACAATGCCTGTCCTGCCCAGAGCTTCTGAATTGACTGTTTTTTCTCATTACCTTATTTTCACCTATTTTACTTGAGCCATTGAGCTGGCAGTCAAACTAATCCCGGAGCAGTCTCCTGACTTGTCACCAAAGCTGTCCGGGGAGGATCACAGGCACGAGTCCTGAAGTCCCTCATTGTCCCTCGTCTCCATCAACTTCAACCCTATAACGTTGTTCAATAGTAAATCAAAAGACAACAGGGGAACTGCAGGGAGAGTATGGGGGCAATCACACACTCGGATCACTCTGCCGAGAGCAAAGACGGTCATCTTTGATCTGTGAGCCATTTTGAACCAATATCACAGATATGGGATGGAGGAGGACCGTCTTGATAATAGTTGAAAATGGGAAAAGCCTCTAAATTTCAGGGATTTCATTTGTAGCAACAGTGTGATGTAGCTGTTAGAACAAAAAAGCCAGCGTGATAATCAGACAGCCTCTGCTTTGAACTGGACTTAGATCTGGAATTTGTCTCTAGTTTGGAATGCTGCAACAAAGCAGGAACTCTTATTTGGGAGGGAGGTTGTACTAAATATTTCGAGTCTCCTTCCAGTGCTAAGCTTCTGTGTTTTTTATAAGGCTGCCTGGGGAAGACAGCAGGAATCCCTGTGACATAACTCATCTGTGTTATGCCAGGTTCTTACTGCAAATAATTATTAAATTTCAGAGGATCAGGTTTGACTCAAAGAATATCCAAGTCTATGTGACAATAAGCTCTATGACCACAGGATTCCATCACAGTTCCCCTTGTTGGTGTGGGGAAACTGTCTTGGCGCCTCTTGTGTAATGTCACCCAGAGTTCAGGATTTCTTTAGACAACAGCATGCAAGTGAGCGTACCTTGATCAGTGTGGCCATCATGAAGGGTAGAAATGGGGAGGCCTGGGCCTGTGCACAGGATGAAAACAAAAACATGCTTAAGCTTTAAAATAACACTGAGTTTCCAATAAGAAACTGGTCCTATTTGTGTCAAGCTCAAGTATATCTTAATTCTACAGCTGTTTTTTTTTTCCCCATGGAGAAGCAAATACCACATTTTAAGTTACATTTAAACAACACATGAGATCAGAACACAATCGAAGAACAGATGTGAGAGAAGAGTTGCCCGTGCACTTTTCCAGGAGTGATCGGAATAGTCCAGCTCTCATGACACAAACGGCCCCCAGGATCTGCCATGATAAATGGCCCTCTGAGAAGACATCACGTTGTATGGGCTAGCGTTAGCTGTGTCTTTTTTATCCGATAACCTTCACCAGCACCCAGATGATACTCTCAGTCTGGCTTCTTGGTCCAATGTTCAGTTCATTTTGGAGGGTGGAACCCAGCATCTTTCCCCCACCCCATGTAATTAATAGATGCAGAAATAAATTTGTATAGAATCTGTTACCTGTATGCTGTGGCAGGTGACATTCCCTGGGAAACAGACCCAGAAGTTTTGTGGGCCAGAGATTTTTCTGGGGGTAGTATTAGGATGCTCACTTCTGGGAGAGGAAGGATGAGGTGGTAAGGGAAGGTGGGCTTAGTGCAGTCAAGACACAAACCTCAGCCGACCCCACAGGGAGCTCTGGATGGCCTGCAGAATGGCCTCCATGTACAGGGCTGGCTTTTATACCCCAGATTGGAGCAGTCATCGGATGTGGCAGGGGACGAGGGCGATTCCCAGGGTGGGAGCTCGGCTGTGAGCTGTCGGCGGCCACCAGCACTCTCAGCAGCTAGCGAAATGAGGGATTCGGCCCGGAAGTGGGGGGTTCTGGGTGACACACCAGTGTCCACTACATATTACAGCGTGGAACTCAGGTTTTCTGTGCAGAAACTGGCCATTTTAACAAGATCTGCACATAATTACACACTAATTATCTCCAACTCACTTGAACCACAGGATAAAATAATACCTGGAAATATACGTTTTTAAAATTTTTAATTTTTTTTAAGTAGGCTCCACACCCAGTGTGGAGCCCAACGTGGGGCTTGAACTCATGACCCTGAGATCAAGACCCGATCGAGCTGAGATCAAGAGTGGGACGCTTAACTGCCTGAGCCACCCAGGCGCCCCTGGAAATATACTTTTAAAGGATGAATTTGCTCTGACAGTCGATGGGTTAAAAGAAACAACACGGAAGCTGGGAGTAGAGGTTCATTTGCACTCCTGATGCTTCTTCCTTCTTTGTGGAACATAATTAGAGTAGCACCCTAGAGCCCAAGCAAGCTGAAGCAAGGGTAACCTTTTTGATGAGTTCTCAGAAGACCTGGATGGAGAGAAGTACCTCCTTCTTCTGCTTTGTTCCTGGCATCTTTCTGCCTGTTCTTGACTGGATCCTCATGCTCTAAGTGGGACAATGCTGGGGCCTGTGGGGGCCGCCAGTGGCTTTTGTAGTCGTACCCATATTTGTGTAATTGTGATTCTGAGTAACCTGTACAGGTGATAAAGTTAATATTTTAATTTCCTCCCTGACCCCTCAGGTGAACTTGAGAGCAAGGGGAAGGGATATTATTTATTAGGCTCTCTCAAAAAATAGTTCTCTATTGTGTGGAGTTTCAAAATTTTATAGAAGTTCATTTTCAGAGATTTTCATTTTGACCAGCTTTTCCTCAAAGTTATTAGAAAGGACAAACACATATTATATTTTTGGTCAGAATGTAAGGAACTGAAACATGAATCTGAATTTCTTGACTTCCGTCAACAAGCATCCACCCTATGGAATTTTCATGGGCATGCAGCTCCAGGAGTGACAACTAGCATATCTGTTTTGGCCAAATTCTGAGACAGACTAATGACTGGCCACCCTGGGTACAAATGGCCTGAGCCTGTGGTCACAGAGGCATCAAAGCACCAATTGTCTGGAGTCCCTCCTTTGCATTACTTCTGTTCCATCAGCATCAGGAAGAGGATTTTTATCTATTTAATCCTATTATCTGGGATTTACTCACCATCTCTTGGAGAGTTTGAAGTTACATAATGAGGCTTTACTCTTAGTCCTAAAGGGAAAGATTTCAAGGTTTTTCTTATGATGGCTCAGTGACTCATTTTACTGGAGCTTCAAAAACACCAGACGATGTGATGCTTCCCACACAGTATATTTTTTGCTAAATGGGAAATTACCATACTGCCGAGCAAGAGTGAGTGTGGAAAAGTCAGGCGATTCAAGTTCTAGAAAGGACTCTTCCACCAACTTTTGAGGAGAGCTTAGTCTTTGCTTCCTTATCTTTTCAGTGGGCACTCAGACTCAAGCAAATATTAGGAAGACAAAGTGATATAAAAAGTGGTAGAGTGCTTTCAGAAAGGGTTGAAACATCGTACAAATGCAGAATGTGTATAAACATAAATGAATGTATGCAAGTGTAGGGTCACTGAGGTCTCTATGGGTAAATATGTCAGCATAAGAACAAGTTTTTTGTTAGGCTTTGCAAAAGGCAATAGTGCTTTGATCTTCTTTAGCACCGATGTTCATTTAACAATTACGCCTTATGTGTAATTGTTGTGCAGTAGCCATTTTTCTTGGCCTTATGAATGTAAAGATGAAAAGAAAGCAGCCTCTGCCTTCAGGAGAGAAAGACAAACAGATGACTCAGTATAGTTAGTTCAATGATACTATATGCCTGGCATGTAAGCTTTCAATATATGTTGCATAAATACATAGCTTGGGTTGAAGAATGTTGCATAGAATTTGAGAAGGACATTTAATATATATCTTTAAGTGACATAACCACAATCAGCACATACAGTCATGAACAACAATCTCTTGGCTTTTCAAAGATGTCACTGACTCAACACACCGTGTTAAAGTAATTGTATCAAACTGACATCTTGTGCCATCTTAAAGGGAGCCTTTGGGTTAAAATGTTTATCCACCGCTGCAGTCAATTGGGCCTGGGCTCGGGTTCTGGGGCCAGGTGATTGGGATGAGGAAAGTGGAATGACAGGGCAGCCTTCCTTCTGGGAATTAAAGAACCTGGGGTCTTCTGCAACTGGTCAGGGATCTCCATCGGCCAAAGATTCCATTTGTTCTCTGAGCTGCTTTCCACTGGGAGTTGATACTAGAAACAGTAGAGTGGCATGTATTTTGTAATAACATTCTCTGTTTGCTGTTCCTCACCAGGGAGACTCAGGGATTAATTATGGGGGTGGGATAGAGAATGGAAAAGTAGATATTTCTCAAGTCCATTTTCCAAATCTCCACGATGCCTACCAAGACCCCAATATATTTCACGGATCTACTGACACGTAACCAATCTGTTTCATGGCTTGTCGTATGTTCAAGATATAGATAAGATGTTATGCACAAAAGAAAATTATTTGGATAGAAATTATTAACTAAATGTACACACGGCCTAAAAAACCAGGAAGTATTTGGTGTATTTTATTCCCTATGACTTTTTACTATTTGAATGAATTACTTATGTTATGTTTCCCAAATTTAGAAAGAACATACGAGGTGACAAAAGTTTACTTTCCATCCTCACTGAAACTATCATTCAAAGAAATATTGGCCTCCGAGGGAAGGAGTTCAGGTTTCCAGGACATTATTCTTTCCCCTGGCTGTCGGAGTTTGACATTTCTCCAGGCAAATGGGGCCAAAGTCCAGCAACCGTTTTAACAGAGAATGCTTCTTTCTGTGACACTGCTCGAGTCTTGCTGTGATAGCAAGTAGATGGTGTTTGCATATAACGTTAACCTCACGCTGCTGCAGCACACGGTTGGTACAAGCTTGGGATTTACCGTCAACACATCCCTGCTCCCATCCTGGCTCTGCTGCTTACCAGCAGTGTGGATCCTCTGCAAGTCATTCTATTTCCTCAACTGCAAAATACCGGGATAAAAATGCTCTCCTATCTTCCTTTCATTTTTTTCCCCCATAAACGTTAGATAAGATAACATAGGTAAGATCCTCATATATAACAAGTGTTCGATGACCTGAAGTGTAGGATTGATCAGGGGAAGATGATGATGAGGACACCAACATTGGCAGTGTGGTGGTGGAGCTCGGGGTCCGTTACCTACCATAGCAGACAAGCGCATAGTACTTGGCGTAGTCACTGAAACTTGCTGTGTAATATTGGCACCTTTCTTTCCTTAGATGGCAAGTAATGCACTTTTTGCTTGGAGGATGGCTTCCAATGCTAATTCTAGAGGAAAATGAAAATAAAACTAAGCTGAAATTTTGAGATTGTATTTATCAAAATGTACTACTCCATGTAAAATGACTAATTTACATATTGACATCAAACCCACTCTATTTTTCTCTTGCCAATATCATTTAAAGTGAAGGGGAATTACAGTATTTTGATGTAGCCTGATTTTTCAATCATCTTTGCCTGAAGAGGCACAAGCCTTGAGAGAGAAGCCCTTCGGTTTCTCTGGGGTGGGAGAAATATCTAACACCTTGAATGGGAGTGAGGTAACCACTTCCCATAGCCATTCATCCTTCACATCTTACAGAGTGCTTGGCAATGCATAGTTCTTCATCTTCCCATCTCTCTTATTGTACTCCCATGCAAAACAGGCAAGGAAAATCTGGCAGGCTCACCAAGAAAGGGGTCGCTGTTCTTATCATATATCTGGAAGGGGAAATCAGTCATAAGCAAAGTGGAAATAAAAAAACCATAGTTTTTAAGTGCCTCCTGTGCCTTCCATTCCTTTCTAAAGGAAGTTTAGGGTCAGAGAAGCTCTTCCTGGTAATGCTTGCTCCCCACCACACTCCTACACAAGCCAACCTGTACCTACCACGTCGGACCCACCCTCTCCCCAGCAGAGCCTTCTGCATGGCTTCTGAATGGGGTGATTAGCTTTAATATACAGACTCCCAGACCTGACCCCAAACCCTCAGAATCAGATTCTCATTTGGGCCAGACTAGATGGTATGATGCCAGGGTAGGGTCAGGGTCAGAGTCTGTTGTGGCTGGTGAAATAATCTGCTGCCGCAGTGTTCCTTCTGCTGCTGCCCCTGACCTTGCCCAGGGCATGGTAGATGGGAACCAGAGACATCACTAGCACTACAGAGGGATTCTCTCCAATAGATAAGAAGTCACGATCCAGGAGGGAGCAGAGGAATGCAGCAGAGGGAAAATTCCTTATTTCCTTGGTTACAGTTCACATTCACATTCACATTTTGGTGTAATCCTGGAAATGTTAGGTAGGCAGTTAACAGTAAGGGGCCTAGGTCAGCATGCCCAGGTACAAAATTCTGGCTCTAACAATATCACCTGCCTCCTGAAGTTGTGGGGATTAAATGAAAGTACATATGTAAAGTAGATAAAAATGTGCCTGACATATAGCAGACTACCAGCCGATGGTAGCTATGACTTTTACTTCTATATCCGGAGAGGACTGTTGAGGGCACCATTCCAATCACCAAAGGTACAACTGGACCAACTTAAACACTAATTTAGGAACAGAGATGAATTCCTTCCAATAGTAATAGGCTTATGCCAAAGTGAACCATATTAAAAGAAATCACATGATCTGGCAGTAACCACAATGCCTGGTACACAGTAGGGACTTAATAAGTGGCTGCTAAATGGATGAATGTCCGCAATTACCTCTAAATTTAGTTGAAGTATTTAGTATCATGTTTATAACAGCATTAGAATTTCTTGACTTTTTTTCTGAAAACATTTTGAGTTAGCTAATATTTGGGGTGCGTATATATTTTTTAAAGATTTATTTATTTGAGAGAGAGAGAAAGTACGTGTGCATGCATGAGCAGGAGGAGGGGCAGAGAGAGACGGAGAGAGAGAATCTCAAGCAGACTCCTCGCTGAGCATGAAGCCTGAGACAGGGCTCCATCTCACAACCTTGAGATCATGACCTGAGCCAAAACCAAGAATTCGATGCTTAACCACCTGAGCCACCCAGGCACCCCAGGGAAGTGTATATTTTTCTACTGATGTGGTGTACAGCATTCTCTCAATGTTTTACCTTGATTCATATATAACTTTTGTTACATTTCAGGCTTTAAAAAATATTCTATATATCCACAGGCCTCTGACAGATTTTCATTCATGTATTAACATATAAAAATATTAGAATGTATTGACATAAATTACCTATAGATATTTCTTCTTCCAGGGTAGCCTTCAAATTCATTGCTAGAATAAAACCTGAAAATATATCCAGAAGTTATTAAATAAGTATTGATAACTAAATAGTGACAGAATTGTTAGTACTAATACTAATAGAATAAGCAATATAGTCCAATGTTTGTCTAACGAAACTATATTAATTGGCACTTAGGTTGATAAGTCATTGCTGTTTATAACACTGAATTTTATGTACCTAGTCTGACTTTCAATTCATAGGAGAAAGATTAAATTATGCTGAATATTCCTTTTTTTATTATAGGTATATTGATTCATTAGTTATGAGTTACACAAAATAAGGTAGGATATTGATTATTATCACCCTCTTCCTGACAGTTTACTGGTTTCTCTATGCTATATTAATTTTGTCCATGATTCTGAAGACATTTTGAATTTGTTTTACAGAAGCTCTGACAATAGATGAATTTGTTATAAATCCAGAAATGCATCCGCACTATGACACCACACAAAGGGCCATGTTAATTCACCGAGATGCAAAAGAAGTCACAAGAGAACATACTTGTTACTTAAGTATCTGGGTCCCAGTTCTAACCTGTCTTAATATAGCTATGAAGTGGGAAATCCAATTTAGTGGCATGATTTTCACTCCTCTGTGAGTTCATCTGAATATCACGAAGTAACTGTCTTTTTTTTTTTTTTTTTTCCTTTTTGGAAGAGCATAATGGAGTGTAGAAAGTCGGGTTTGGTTACCCATTTTTAATTGTTAGGACTGTTCAGTGGCCCAGGTGGTTTTATGTCTTCACTGTCATAAACACCTCGTTATCCCCAAGTAGAGAGAAAAGGTAAGAGAATGCAAATCACTCCTAGGATTGACTGTGTCTTCTAAACCAGCAGCCTTCCACGTGCCTTGACTAACTTCACATGACTCCGACCGAGGGGACGGTCACTTGCACTTGTCTTCCTCACATCATCTCAAACTACCAGTGAATAAACTACTCCATATCTTTTCCAAGCGGCCCCCCGCAGGTGTCCTGTTCTGTCAGAAGCTTCACGGTTGCCTTCCTCTAACCCTGGGAACTGAGGTCACTTTGCCTTTCCTTCCCCTTTTCCTTCAGGACCACGAAGTCAGCAGTCTTGTTCGTCCTCTATCTGTCCTTATGGTCATATACCCTTCCTCTCATTCATTTAACAAATATTTACTGACTTCCAGTGCTGCATCAGGCACTATGCCAAGCGCTAAGGACACAAGAAACAGGAGGCATAGCTTCTCTGTCCAAGAGTCCATATTTCATTGGCACTGTTCTAGTTCAGGTCCCCATCATTGCAAGCTTCGATTAAGACCATCGCTGGGCCTTCCTGCCTTTGGGTTTCCCCTACCTCTGTTTCTACTTCACAGTATGTGGTAGGAAGTAATTGCTCAAAAAATGATAGCTGTTACAGATAATGATCTTAAATTCATATAACATTGAATCACTACAAAAAAATGTCTGTATCTATGGGCTGCCCTTCATGGACTTTTGAAGCTTGCTCCTTTCTTCAAGTGCTGAAGTGTAAAATTTGTGTTTAGAAGTAGTTGTTATTTTTAAAATTTTATACTTTTAATTTATTATCTACCAGGTATCAGAAGAGACATGACCACTTACTAAATATTCTTTCCTGAAAGAAATCATGTTAACTAGCTGTTAAAGAATGTGCAGTCTTAATGAAACCAGAGCTATCTGCACTAACCTCTAGAGTAAGTAACCAAAAATGCTCTTAACGAAGAGGTGGTACAGTATCATTTGTGTGTCCATCAGTGCTAATTAAAACCTGAATGGTGCATCATGCTTCATGCAATACTTACAGTGAATCCTGTGTTACTCTGAATATATTTATGGCCTCCCACTTGCCACTTGTAATTTGAATAGCATTTTCCTATAAAAAGACAAACATTATGTTGTGTGAAGCTGAGCGTTATTTGAGCAACCTCAAGTGAATGATCTTTGAGGAGATAAATCTTGGAAGGAACATACCACAGTGTCTTTGATATAGTGAATATGTTTGTAGCCATCCTTGTCGCTAAATATTTTGTAGTATGAAATGGCATCATAGCTGAAAACTGGTGTTGAAACAAAGAACTGAAAGAAATGAACAGAGGTTATGTTCAAAAGACAAACCAAACTAAAACTACAGATTTTTTTAAAAAGCAGTGGATAGTTACAATTATAGGAACCAGAACGCCTTGCCTCCCCTGCCTTCCATCACTCACATCTGAAATCCCATTCTTTCAGATAGACAGCTTTTCTAGGGATTCCAACAGGCATTTGCACATTCCAACTGCTGCTTAATTGCTACTACATACCACTGTGTTTATAATGTTTAATTCCATTGAACGTCTATGCTTGGAGATAGTGTGGTTTGAAAGAGAGTTAAAAGAATCACAAGTGAGTGTTGGGGATATTTAGCCAAGGTCAAACTTCAAAATGTGGTATATGACCAAAGTGTGACTCATGAAGGCTGATAGTTCTGATTTTTGATTTGTCTGATGCCAAGCACCTAATGCCAATGATTCAATGAAGACATTTTAAAGATGAAAACATCATGGCCTGCAAGCCACCGTTTTTAACGTTGGAAAGAAACTTCTAGAACTTCTAGACTTGAGAGAAAAATGTTTTCCAGGACAAGCTAGTAGGAGGTTTACTCCTTGAGCTCAGGGAGCGAAACAGGCCTCGTTGCCTGTCTCTGGCCTCTTCCCAGGGCCCCCACTGGCCACTTGCTGGGAACTGCTGAGTGACCCAAGGAGTCTCTGACACTCAGCTTTCCTGCGCCCTGGAACAGAGCAAGTTACATCTCTATATCCGGAATGGTATAGATAACTCAAATCCTGCAAATATCCTCACATAATTTTTAGCTAGTAGTTTCGCCATTAAAAAAAATTAGCCATTAACTGAACATAATAATAAAAAGACCCCATTCATTTCCACTGAAAAAAAAAAAGACAAAAAAAAATAGCCTTATCTTATATTTGTTGGCTTTGTTGTCATTGGGTTGTAAAAGAAAGGCAAAGTGGTAAAATGGCTATAGGAAGAAAGAGCTGCTCTGCATCATGCCCGGTAGAGATTCCCACAAATAATCCCAAACCAGCTGTCTCTGGCCAGAGAAACAAGTTGTTCAACTCCTTCAGAACTGACCAAGGGACAACAACCGAACTACCAGTATCTTTTAGTTGCCATAGGCCTTTTTAGTGATGGCTCCATGTGTGATCTGATAATTGATGCTTTTTGATAAAAATTTATGGTTATGATTACTTGATATTAAAATGTAACTTATTTGAGTATGGTGTCTGTAGTGGTCTGAATAGCATTCTCCAAAATTCATTTGAACCCAGACCTCCGATGGTAACTGTGATGGACTGGGATTGTTTCTATCTCCTCCCAAATTCATATTTTGAAACTCTAACCCCCACTAGGATGGTATTAAGAGGGGGGACCTTTGGCAGGTGATTAGGATGAGATGAGGTCACAGGTGTAGAGCCCCATGAATGGGATTAATGCCCTTATTAGAATTACCAGAGAGCTTGCTTCCCTTGCTCTGTTCTCTACCATGTGAGGATCTAAGAAGTTGGTGGTCTGCAACCCAGAAGAGAGCTCTCACCAGAACCCAACCAGGCTGGCACCCTGATCTAAGACTTTCCAGCCTCTAGAAGTGTGAGAAATCAACTTCTGTTGTCTCTAAGGCACTCAGGCTATGGCACTTTCTTTTAGCAGCCCAAAGGGGGAAGATAATGACCCTATTTGCAGATATAATCAAGGTAAGAATTGAGATGTGATCCTACTGGATCAGGATGGGCCCTGAATCCAATCTGGCTGGTGTCCTCAACAGAAGAGAGGATACCACTAGACCCAAGGGACATGGGGAAGAAGACTTCGTGATGGTGGAAGCAGAGATTGGAGAGATGCAACCGCGAGCCAAGGAAGTCCAAGGACTGCCAAGAGCCCCTAGTAGCTGGAAGAGGTGAGAAAGAATTCTTCTCTGGAGGCTTCAGAGGGAGCAGGACCCTGCTGACACCTTGACTTTGGACTTACAGCCTCCAGGATGGTGACAGAGTGAATTTCAGTTGTTTCAAGCCACCGAGTTTGTGGTAGTTTGTTGCGGTGGTCTCAGGAAACTAATATGTCCTAAGTCGTATCACTCTGGCACAGAACGGATGTCTTACACCAAATGAAAAATGGAATAAGGAGAATCTATCTCCTTACACAATTCCTTTGTTAGTTTCATTAATCATAAGACCAGCCTCGGTGGGATTTGGGGTATTGAGACTAATGCCTCTAAATGAAATTGAAAGTGAACTGAGTGAAAAAGAGGCCCAGGGAAAAGAAATTCTGGCTTGTAATTTTGTGGATGGAATTTCATTAGCATAGGTCATCATAACAAGCCATTCTTTCATTTTAGAAGAAAGCTTTGCCTACTTAGGCCAATGATAATAAAGTAGGCCAATGATAATATACCTACTTACTAGTAGGCACTTTGCAATGCCTCCCTCTCACACCTCAGGGTGAAAGACAAAAAACAGAACTACGTTGTCTTCACTGCTAAAATGGAACCAGGGTCACAAAATATTTTAAGATGCCAGAGTAAAAACATATTCTCCTCATACCTCGGGTTAGTAAGGAACTGTAAAAAAGGTTTTGTTCTAGATGAAGACTTAAAATTTCATTTTCATTGAAAAAAAAATAAGAGGGCAGGGTGTTATGTTTTAAGATATCAGAATCAGGCGAACAGGAAGAATATCTCTGCTAAGCGAAGACTGTTATCTTCTCCTTTTTATTGCACACGGTGAAGACAGCTGCTTTAGATGAACAGGTAACTTGGGTGAGCTAAAGAGAGTGTGAAATATTTCCGCCTTCACTTTCCCAGAGCTGGGTCCATCATGCATCCTGAGTTAAGTGCTTCTGGCGGCAAGTCACACCTGGACCCTGGATAAGCACCCATAACTAGGTGGTCCTCAGTTTTAACAAGGCCTTTCCACAGCCCCTTTATCGTGCTTAGATTTTCTGATAAATTACTCACCTCTATGTGCAAAGCCATTTCAAATATTATACTTGGAAGGTAAGATTATTCACCACCTGATAATTTCTTACCATGGTTGGGAAATAACCCTGAGGTCCTACTTAAAAAAGGCTGATGCCTAAATGGAGTCCGCATTTGGTGAAAAGCACAGACTTCAAGCATTGAGTAGAAAACTCATTTTTCTGGCAACCAAATTCAGCCAGCTTTATTTGTGAAACAAGGAAATAAAGGCTCACTTAAAAGTTAAAAAATAAACACAAACCCAAAACAACCCTCAGTTTTTTGAACAAAGGGATTTTGCCAACGGCTAAGGGAGGTGTAGTGTATTGCTTACTTATTTTTAAAATAATTTAAATGTGGCTTTGCACCCTACGACGTATGCTTTTAGTTAGTGCTTGTTCTCCAAATTTTACTAACTCAATACTAGATCCTTTGATTGAAGGCTTCTTTTTTTTTGGTCTGTTCTCTACAGGGTGAGAAGAAATTTGTTTGAAGTGAATTCGTGGTTGTTATTTTTCTGATCAAATACCAAAGGAGATGTTAGGTTATTTCCCCCAAATTAAGACACCGAATATCTCGTGCTGGAGGACAGAAAATGATAGGTAAAGCTCTATGTGCCAGTGCCCTGCCTGCAGCTGACAAGTGCATTGCTTTACACAAGTCATTCAGTCTCACTCCTCTGATTCACAGGCGGTTTCCAAGTGTTTTTCAGTTTAAATTTCCTTAATAAATTCTAAAGGAACAACTTCTCTAAAATTGCTCTCTAATTTTATATTGATATGACTAGCCTGTACACTTTCTCTAAAAACTTCGTAAATATTACTTGAACAAATGTCTGAAAGATATACAAATTTCTAGGTTATTTCTGGGTAATTTTATTAAACCGTTGGTTTGATTATAGGTCAAAGGAAGCTATCCAGAATATTACGACATAGGAGTTATGAGCCTATAAAGTTATGGCCTGACTTTCAAAAGACATGTCAAAACTTATAAAATCTAATGAATGACCTCTTCAAAGCAGCTGCCTTGGGAGAATGTGAACCTACTCCTGAACGCTATCACTGCAAAGATTTTTCGATGATACCTCTTCTGGTATTTAGAAATTTACTGATTATTGGGTAAATTTTAGGAGATCAAGATGAGGACATGAAAAAATAATTTTTCCCAATAGAATTCCAGAGCTATAGACATTAAAATGATCTAGCACAAAATCATGTTGAAGATAAGTAACGCATTGTTCACTAGATTTATTTTGGCATGATTTTTTTAAAAATAATTTTTGATTTCATGTAGGGATCTCATCTTCCCTCAAAGGATATGCATGTGCTTCCACTGAGGGTATTTAAAACAATGTTCTATGGCTTTAGAAGGCAATTAATTAATTAATTGATCCATTCATCCAGCTCATGTTTGCTGAGGTTACAAGGCTGGTACTATACAGATTGTAAAAATTGATAAGGTACAAATAACTCTAAGATGCTTATAAATAAGAGATTTCAAAAGATGCATTCTAAAATATTTAGGTGTATTTTGAATGCTGGTAGCATTTTCAGAATAAATGTGTGTGGATTCCTAAAATCATGTCTTTGAGAAGACTGTTGGTATCATTGTTTATCTCTTTGTAAAATCATATCATTCATGTCATTCTGTAGTAACTCCCGCTATGTTATCATAATGGAGTATACAACCAAAGGAAGTTTTCAAGTATTCTTCTTTGCTTTCATTCTTTACTGGAAATTTTATAATGGGAGTGAACTCATAGATTAACTTCCCCTTTCCTCAAGTTTTCAAATAATGATCTAGGAATTACCTTTTTGGAAGATGAGCTTCGGATTGACCAACATTTCAAAAATTTAGAAAATCCTGTCCTTTCACTGAATACTCCTGATTTTTCTTGCGTTATTTACTACAGTGGCAAAGAGTGAACGCAAATAGAACTTGCCCATTTTTTTTCTCAATTACACACCTATCTTTGTTACCTTGCTACTTTAGAGTATAACTTACACTTAATGTATATAATTAATAAAGTAATAACTATTCTCAAGTTAATGAATAAAACTGAAATATCTTTAACTGAAGACAGAATAAATATATGTAAGCTAATATCGCTAAATCCAGAAAAGTGTACAAAAAAGAGTTTTTAATATCTGATGATTTTTAGTCATTTACCCACCTAAACTTTGAATTTTTATGAGTTATCATCATACAATTGACTCTGAATTCTTTATTGTCCTTGTATCACGGGTTAGTGTGTTAAAGGCACTAAGAGTTTCCTTTTTCTTTGCATGTGCCACTCAGAGAAACTGTGTGTGTGTGTTTGTGTGTGTGTGTGGTGTGTGTGTGTGTGTTTAAATCCAAATACTAGTTGAATTCAATATGCTTGTAATAAGTGGCAGCATCCACACAACATTCACTTATTCTCTGTCCTATTGTGTATTCTTCATGGGACATTAGACACAATTGATAATTTTGTAAAACATGATTTTTTTACACTAAAAATTCTCACAAATTACTGAATAAACCTATCCCCCAAATTCTACATATAAGTGATCAAAAACCATAACAAAACACACGTTTTCCTATTTGATACCACTTAAAGACTGGAAAAATATATAATTCATTTATTAATTTCAGTCTATATAAAATTTATTAAGAGGTAGGTTGTCTCTAAATGACTAAGAATACCAGTGTATTTGGTTCTTCTGGCTTCAAATGGTTAATAATTATTATTTTAAGCTGATCAGGAATTGTGATCCCTTTTGAAAAATAATCTTTATTTTATTTGCTTAATAAGAATATTAACTATGAATATCAGAAAGTCAATTAAAAAGCTAAGGTTGGGACATGAGGAATATGATTTGTTCTCAACAGAATTTTAAATATATACACATTAAAACTGTCTGGCACAAGATTGCTGAAAGGATCACTACCTTTGTGTGTAGTATTTTTTTTTTACCTTGTTATTTTTTCTATGAAACAAGTAGTGTCAACAAGTAGTGTCGGTTTGGATACATTTGAAATAGGTCCTTTGATAGCTGAGAATCTGTCAAGTGACATTAAAATACAAGGAAAAGATAGCAAAATCATACTCCACCAGCCCATCCAGTTCTGCTTTCTTCTATATGCTCCTGGATCTAAAAGAAAGAAAGACCACATCAAGCACACTATTAGGAGAACAGTTTTTTCTAGATATGACCTGGGCATTTGAACCAGTTAAGCTGTTTACTCAAACTGTACTATTGTAATTGAGTAACTTCACACTTGAGTTTCAGATGACCATATGCACAACCTTATACATCAGCCCTATGGCATACACATGAGTAATGAATAATCTTAAGAGCTGGCTCTTATTGCAAACTTTTAAGAATCCTCGTTTAATTTTCCATGAGGCGGTGCCTGGAATTATTACATCTACGGAAGTCTAGCACGACCCCTAAGCACTTGGTGTCATGTAGTTTAAAAAGGCATTTCACAGTGGAGTTTAGGTTAATTTTTTTCTTTTCTCCATCTTATTAAGTAGGTAGGAATCTTAAAATGTGCACTGGATCTTATTTTGATGCCTATTTTTGCATAAGGCAACCAATCACTTATTGAACAAAATTTAGTAAGCCTAAAAGGATGAATAAGCTTTCCTAGACAAATAATTAGAGAAAGAACATTCTAGGTGAAATGAACAACACAGAGACCAGGCCAGCTTAGTAGACCACAGGCGTGGTTCACTATGGCAGAGGGGAGGGTGACTATTGAAAAGAGTTGAAGATGAGGAAAGATGCAGGGGTATCAGAAAGATCCTGGAGAAACTCTAATGCCGCCCTCGGAAGTTTGGACTCCCCCTCTGGGTAAATCCTTTGAAGGATTTCAAAATCACAGTTTGGAAAATATAATTGCAAACATGATACAGAGAATGGATTAGAAGTGAGTAAGATAGAAGGAGGCAGAGAGATCAACTGGAAGGCTATTGTAGTTTGGAAAAAAGATGATAAAAGCCTGCATCTAGGTATTGATATTAAGGGCGGACCAGAGAAGATGTAGCCAGAGATACTTAAAAGTTCAAATCCTCAGAATAAAGTTGAGGGGCAAATGGTAACCAAAACCTCTGGTATAGATGAAAATCACCTAAAGAGTAAGTTGAGAGTTGTGGCAAAGACTATAAGATTATCAGCAATCTTTTGCTGATGTCTTTTTGCTCGGACTAGCCAGGCTCCATTGATTAGGATGTGGTCATGTGATAAGTTCTAACCAATGATGTGTGAGCAGAAGTGACTCATTCCACTTCTAGGCCTAACCTATAAAAAAACCTCTTGAGCATGATCCTCCATTCCCTTTTCCATCCCCCAGCTGGATGTTGGTGGTCAGGTTTGAATGACTTTGGACTAGCCTTGGAAGTCACTAGATAAGACGGCAGAAATGCCATCAACCTGAGCACTCCATCTCCCACCCCTCACCATTCCCCACTCACCTGGACTCACTAGTAGGTAGTTACATGAATGTGCAAAACGTTTCTATTGTCTTAACCCACTGAATTACTGGAAGGGTTTTATTGTTGTTATAGCAGTTAGCCTATCTTGCAAATACATTAATTTGGAGAATAATAAGATTTCTAGAGAACAGAAAAAGAGCTGGAAACAAAAAGAACAGCCAGTGAAGAAGAAAGAGAACCATGAGTGAGGGTACTGTCATAAAAAGCAAGGGAATAATAAATCTTAGGCACAGCTTTGTTACTCAACACTTTGTCGTTCTTAAATTTGAAAATGTGTTCCATGTACTTATCAAATTACTTTGAAACTGGGGTTTTTTGAAATCCTAAGGTTAATTAAACCTGGTATTTTAAATTTAATCACTGTTTTGGGCCATTAAACTAAAGCTTATATTCCAAGGAATTCCACATCTCCTCGAATAAGCATCTTATATATTCTGTCAGTTTGGATTAAAGTTGTCCCTGATTTTGATAAATTAGAATTTCAGATTCCAACGCAATTGCCGTTTTTAAATTCCTTTTTTTTTGAGAACTAAAAATTGTGTCTAAATGACCGATCTTATAGTTTGTAACTGATAAAATTAAAGCAATAATTCCTCATACCTAGCTTCAATAAAAACAGTCAAGATATAGTCCTCCAAAGCTGATTTATCACATGAATGGTTTCTAATTAACTGCCACAATCAAGTTTATTCTTTTCTTCCCCCTATGCTACTGCATTAAAGCCAAAATCTTTCTGTTTTGTATATCAAAATATAAATAAGATAAAAATAAGCTTCTAGCATATTCCATCAAAATTAGTCAAGCTTCTTACAGAGTAGTGATTTAAAAAATATTTTTAGCCTGAGTAATGTTGACTATTATAGTCCTGATATATTTCCAAATAGATTCATATGACTCTTTTCTTGCAAAACATAGTGTCCTAATTTCGAGATGGAATTTAGTGATTTACTTTGATTGCTCTGTGTTTTTTTTCCTTACTTTATAAAATAGGTTTATTCTATATTTGGTTTAATGAAACATGTCTTCATAATTAGAAGTCTTATGAAATGTATCCATCAAATTTCATATTGAAAGAAAACATTTTGTATTTCTTAGTCTCTAATATGAGTACTTCTGAACAGGCTCATTTTAAAGCTTTTAGATTGCTGAAGTACTTGTCTAACTCATTAATTAAACAGATTATGTTTCATTTGAACAATAAAAACAATTAAAACTCAACAATAAATCTGTGCCTAATTTTCAAGTTTTTTTCTCCCCAAAATTAACACAGTATAGGGTACTCTCAAGGTAACAAGAGAGCAAGATAATTTGATCTGATATTTCATGTCATATTCTCAATTATCTACTGTTAATTTTAAAATGGGAATATTTGGCTTTCTTTTGATAATATCCATTTCCTTTGAAATTTTTATTTTTCAATTTTGACACTGAATAGAACATAGCACCATTTGCATTTTCTCTGTGCTTTTTTTTTTTTTTAAATAGAACACATTTATTTCCATAATAGACCCATCTTATCTTTTCATCCTCCTTATTTTGGGTTTTTTGACTGCCATTCGTACCATCTCAAAAGGATAGATTTCCATCCTAACTCAGAACCAGATGCCTTATTTCTCCAATGTTACATTGTTTCAGTTAGTCTTTTTCTCTACACAGTACCTGTGCTGAAGTCATTCAAGAAAACAAGGGTATCTTACTTATTTAATAAAAATAAAGGACTGTGAAGAAAGAGGGGTTTTTGTTGCAAAGCAATCAAGAGTTGAATGCGGTAATTCTGGCCTTATAATACAAAATGTTAGCTACAGGTAAGTCTCCCCTCATGTACTTTCATCTTCAGGCATATACCTCTGTGGTTTTAATATAACCTACCTTTGGACAATCCCATGTCTGCCAGCCTTCCCTAAAATCACATATAGACAGAACTGAAACGTTCTGGATTCTTTTTAGCCACTGCAAACATATTCGTTCATCAGTAACCCACGTGAGCCAACTGAAATAATAATCACTGCAAATAGAGCAAAACAGAGAGTCACAACCATAAACCAGTATCACATCAAATAATTTAAGTTCTGTTTTCTAAAGGATGTATTTTATTACTATAAAATATTTATTCCATAGATAAGGAAGGTAAAGCTTTCCCTTCCCTACAGAGAAAGAAGGCTTAAATGTATCTGCTGAATATTATTTTATTATTTATTTATTTATTTATTTATCTATTTATTTATTTATTTACTTTTGAGAGAGAGAGTGCAAGTGAACCCAGGGCAGGGGAAGAGGTAGAGGGAGAGGAAGGGAGAGAATCTTAAGCAGGCTCCACGCCCAGTGCAGAGCTCGATGTGGGGCTCCATATCAAGACCCCGAGATCATGACCTGAGCCAAAATTGAATCAGATGCATAACCGACTGAACCACCCAGGCGCCCCATACTTGCTGACTTTTAAAGAATATCTATAAGAGAGCTCATTCATCTAAATGGGATTATTTTATGCTTGAGTTTTCTCCTCATTTTGGATTTGTACATCTTAAGAAACATTTTAAGACATGAGGCCAAAGCTATTGGTCAATCTAGAGGGAAAAAGGATTAAACTGATGATTTTTCACAGGTGAACTCAAGTTTTCAATTTTTAACTAGCTGAGAGAGAGCCAAGTGTGCTAAATGCCCATCTTTCTCTCCAGGCAGGTTTGTGTTGGAAGCCGAGTTTTAACGGTGACCATGATCAGGGATTGAAATTCAGGTTTACTATAATAATCAGAGGTGATGTATACTAAGTAACTCAAATGATGCTTGGCACGTAGTTGGTGTCAATGAATGGCAGCAATTATTACTTGGCTCTGAGGATGAAGCCTCAGAGAGAGAACATCGATGTAAATAAACCACAGAATTTTGGACATTGATGTAAAAGCAATCCCAGAACTGGAAGGGTCTCTGGCTCAGATTCTGGTTTTACCTCCTACTAGTTGTCCTATTTAAGGCTACTTACTTAACATATCTGTGCCTCCGTTTCTATATAAAATGGGAATAATAATATTACCAAATTTAAAGCTTGCTACAAAATTTGTTGAGAGTGCTTAAAGTTCTTGAGAATTCTGTCTGCTCCGTGGTAAGTGCCGAGAAAAGGTTAGCTCTTACTATTAAACTGTTAGTATTTTACAGATGCCCCAACAAGCTTCTTGACTCCTTCTACAGTACCCTTTTTATCATTCCATTTGCCTCCTCAGGAGAATGACACTTCAAAAGAAAAAAAAAAAGATGTATTTAGTCAAGTTTTCATCCACTAGATTGGGGTTGGGGGAGTAATGGATCATCCAAAAAAATAAAGCCATTTTAAATTATCCATGAGTGGATTCACCTTGGCCGGGCCCAGCAGAGGCCTCTGCTGAGGTTCTTTTCCCTGGTAGTGATCAATCGCTTGGCCCTGGCTGACTCACCTTCATGGGGCAGCAGGAGAGAAGCCAAGCAGTGGCCTCCTGGGTTTGGGAAGTGGTAAGGAGGCCCGCCATGCAGGGCGTAGGGGACCTCTTACCTTTATCTGCTTCAACCAGAATGACCACAGAGGACTGATGGAGGGCTGGAGGGTTGCTATTATCAGGGCTAATCAGCCAGGATCTACATAGGGCACCATGCTGGGGAAGTGAGACTGCTTCATGTCCCTGTCTACCTATAGTTAACTCCAAACAGATAATTGGACAACCAGATAATTGCGGATAGACTGCATCCTAGTTGAAAAAAAGAAAATGCTAATATTTGGAGAGGGTTGGCTTATCTTCTCTTGTTTGTCATGCATATGTGATCAAGCATGACGTATAAACCCTGGGTTGGAGAGAAAGTAGACCAGGGTTGAGAGAAGCCATGCTGAGAACACATAGGAATTTTACTATTTGCCTACCGATCCCAAGTTTACATTCACACATCTGAGGGAATTATCACTCAGATTGATCACTATGATCATCTTTGTATGTGCGAAAGAGGCTAGTATTTTAAAATCGATTTAAGAAATGTATTTGTGATTTTTTAATTTGGTTATGTATTTGGGTTTGCATGTCAATTTTATTTATTTATTTTTGCTTAGAGTATACACATCATAAATTCACTAGAAAGGAAGTGCAAATCCCAGTTAAGAAATTTCAGTGTTAGGGGCTCCTGGGTGGCTCAGTCGGTTAAGCGTCTGCCTTTGGCTCAGGTCATGATTCCAGCGTCCTGGGATCGAGCCCCGTGTGGGGCTCTCTGCTCAGCAGGGAGCCTGCTTCTCCCTCCCCCTCTGCAGCTCCCCCTGCTTGTGCTCTCTCTCCTCTCTCTCGCTGTCAAATAAATAAATAAAATCTTTGAAAAAAGAGAGAAATTTCATTGTTAAAATTCAGTGGAAGGTAGGAAGCAGCTGAGCTTACTATACCTTGATGCTATCATTGCTGGAACTGGCACTTCTCTGGGACCTACATGCTCAGGAGAAGTGGTATCGATAATAAATAACCGAACAACAGGATTCTTAGCTCCAGCCTGCCAAAAAATTGGAGATATATAAGCTCATAAAATTCTAATGATCACCAACATATTAAAGACACTTTAGGAATTTAGGCATATTTTTATAAGCTAGTGATATTAAGTATATTACTATTGAAAACATTCTAATTATAACATGACCAGGAATCTCATTTCAATTTTACTTGCAGAGCAATTACAAATATTGTGTCAACCAGAGTGAAAAACACATATTTTAAGTGATTAATGAGGGAGCTTTGATTCATAGGGAAAAAAATATTTTGGATATGAGAATGCAGTTCTATAATTGATATTCTCTTTTCTGACTTTCAAAACAGGTATTTCCTATTATTATTATTAGGATAAGTATAATAATAATTTCTCCATGTGCTAGAGGGAGTGTAGAGGGGAGGAGAGTGTAAAGAATAAATAAAGAAAGATACTTTTTGCTTTGTACCTTGTAATTTGGTCTAGGACAATCATCACTCAATCTCCTAGCTGGTTACATTTACTACTGTTATCATCCCCCCCCCAAATTAGGGAAATGTCACCTCCAAATAAAGTGCCCATGGAATTTGCACTTTTCTTGTTTTGTACTTTCTGTGCTATTATACACCCTAAATGTACATGACAGTGTAGTTCACACCCAGACAGCTTCTTAGAGTTCCTGTTATTTTAACACAAAAAAAAAGAGTTTAAATTGTTAAACAATTTAAGTCCACAAAGTTTAGGTTCACAGCCTTAAATGACTCCATGCTGTTTGGATTTATCTAAAGAACTGTCCAGGCCCTCCTCTGACCTGTTTCCCTATGAGGTTTAGCTGGGACTTTTGGCTTCTTTCAAGTTGTCTCACCTCTCGGTCTGATGTCAGATGTTTCAACAACTTCGGTCTTCAAGAAAACATGAAAATTTGGGTCCCAACTTCTCAGCCAGTGTCAGTTAGTCCTCAGTTATGGGTTCCTCCTCTCTTCTTTCTCCCTTACACCCTCCTAAAGACCCAAGTTCTTTCACATCTCGGGTCCCAAGTACCACACCTCTCGCTTCCAAATGTCTCCAGCTTTCAGACTTTATACCCAGCCATTGAGGGGTCTCCTCCCTAAACATGCTTCTCCTATCCACTGTCTTTTCTCATATGACTTCTAACATAAATTTTAGACTATCTGCTATTTCTATTTCTCTTACCACAACCACTTAGACTTGCATCAAAAGCCACTTGTGTGTATGCACATCTGTCCATCTTTGTCACATATAGGGACCCACTGGATCCATCCATAACAGTGCTCTCTTTGGCAAGTAAACACTATAGTGACTAAAGAACAAAGAACTATTTTCTAAAAGCACTTCCACTCCTTGTGAGAGAGGAGGATTTATGATTTGATCCCTTTTCAGATTTTTGTCTGAATCAAATTGGGATATGATGCTTCTCCACTGTGATCTTGCTGTTCTCCCATTACAGACACGGAAGCCCTCTCTTTAGACATGGGACTGAATGAAAAGGGTGTACACTGAGAATTCTAGGATGGTTATACAAGAAACTTTGGGCTCACTCCATGTCTAATTTCCTCAAGGAAGAAACTAGGCTTACAAACTTAACCTACCTTGTATGTCCAGAAAAGATCATAACTCATGCCTGCTTCTACCTGACAGGAACATCAAGTTCAACATTTGTATTTTCCATTCTAGTTTGCATTTACATGAGAATTCAAGAGGGAATTGCAAAACAGAACTTTACCCTGAATTTGGAGCATGAAATATGAAAAATTAAAATTAAGTTAAGCTTGTTTTTCCTCCATAATCTAGACCATATGTTTTTCAAAGATTCTGCGATGGATTTTGCAAAGACTACTTCATCCAGCACAACCAGATGTCCAAAGCAACAGATGTCCACATAAATAATAGAGCACAGTACAATGTTTGCCTTACAATGCACAAGGATAAGAAGCTCTCCAAACTTGTTGATTCCACCTCTATTCATGGTATTGGTTGCTCATTTTGACACCGGAGAAATGGAAGCATCTGCTAAAAGTACTCAACATACCTTTGGGTATGGAATATTTATTGTTCTAGGATATTGTTCATCACCATAATAGGAATATGCAATAACTGGTATCTCTGTATCATTAAATTCTGCATATGCCAAAAATTTTCCATTAGGAGACCACCAGAGAGCATATTTTGTAGCAAGCATTTCCTCTGAAAGATAAATACAAGCATATTATTTACAATTATAACTTACTTTTAAGATCATTGTAAATGCTTCAAAATTCATTGTATTAGCCATTTATTGACTGAAATAATTTATTTAATGTGGATGTGACATGCCAAAATTTGGTTATTCAAAAAGACAATCTGAGTTTAAAGAAATAGTTTAACCTTATACCTCATATCAAACATCAATCAGTCTTCTTAGGAATTGATATTAAATCAGAAATGTAATTATTTAAGTAAATTAATTAAACATTTCAACAATAAATAATTTTTCCCTTTGGGGCAGCTTCTGTTTTTTATAGTCACCTAAAGTAGCCCAAACAAGGGGAACTGTAATTATACTACAGAGTGACATAAATGTTGGAAGTTGATTTTTCTCCTAGGAATATTAAAAAAAAAACAACAACAGTTCAGTTATATATTTTTTAATAAAGGCAAAGACTACAAGACCTTTTAACGTCCAGGTGAGTCCTGGATCCTACATGACCTAGAAAGGGGACGCAATTCATGAAAGCATCAAAAACTAGGAATATTTCCCTGCAAAATTATGTAGACTGCTGTTTCGTTTTGGAAGAAGGCTTATTTCTCAAGAAAAAAGAAACCTGAGGAAATGTACTAACATAGCATCTAAGGGCCATATACTACTTGAAATATAAATTATTACTACCACTTCATAATGCTTATGAAAATAAACTCTCCCAGGCCGATTACTAGATTTTGCTCTTTCAGAACAGGCACACCCTGTTCCTAACCTGATTAACAGCTTTCAGAAATGCCACCATTCATCTCAGTAACATACCACTCATCTCCATTTTACTAAATATATGCAATTATTTTCAATTAAAAGCCTAGAACAGCAACAGTAGAAAAAGAATACAGCTTACCTTCATACACCCAGTCTGGGATTCCATTGAATATTTTATTTTCTTTTCCATTATATGTTATTTGAAAAGGTGGGTCTTCTGGTCTTTGTTTCAAATAGATATTGTTTTGATAGACATATGCCTAGAAGTGGTGGTAAGTTAGTTAATAAGGAGAATTCCATAAGAAATACAATGAAGTCTGTAAATTTGTATTAACTATTTACTTAATACCTGCAAAATGAGTGGTAATCCAGATGCAAAAAAGACTCATAACTAAAGTATCATTTTAATAGGTCAAAAAACCAACCAACTCACATTAACATCAATTACGATTTTTAAAGTCTATATCAAATAAAACATAAAGTCTACTATTGTATTTGTTGTTTTATTATCCAAATAAATAATTGTGTATATTAACAGAAAGTCAAATAAATCTTTGAATATTAATAGCTAGCCAGATCTAATCTTTATTTAGAGTCCTTAAATAAGAGCTTGGACAAAATTTCATGTTGTCTGAAGCTAGTCTGGGAAACTTGTGAAAACCATATTTTTCCTCAGCTTTCTGGCACAAAGCATTCTGGCTGAGTATGAGGATAAAGTTTTTGACTGCGATATTTAAAGAAGTCTATCCATGAGCTTGAGATTTTGCGGAATTCTCAGATGAGTTTCAATTTATCAAAACTCTTCCCGTTTTTAACCACTAAAATAGTCATGAATTTTTTTTTTTCCTTTCAGGCAGGGAAATTTAACAAAGGCCAAAATCAAATGGCTCCTCTTTTATTTAAATGATTAAACACTTCTATAATTTAAACACTTACTAATTTACTCCCAACAGGCGACCAGCATAAATACTGAATTGGACGAGGAAGCTCATTTCTTCTTATAAACTCTCTAGAAGGAAAAAAAAAAGAAAGAAAAAATAATAATAAACCTTTGCTGTTCAATGAAAAAAACATCTTTGTAAACAGAAAAAAGTAAACAACAACAATGAAGAATCATCCTCTGCTTCTTCAAACCTAACAGAAAAAATGTGGTAACAATGGCACTAGACACATTGAGTAGTAGTTAGGGTTCTTTACTAGTTACTTAAGTCACTTAACTTCTCCGCGTCTCAGTTTTCTGACCTTTATAGTGAGGTGAATTAAAGATTTATTAAAGATTTTTAGGCTGCAAAAGGGGGGCCATCTCTAGAAATTATCTAAGGAATTCCCTCGTTTTATAAAAAAGGAACATGAGGTTAAAGAGATATGACTTTTTAAAATCACATTGCTGGTTCTTGGCAGACCCCTAACTAAACTCAAGTCTCTTAACCCTCAGGACTATAAGATTTATACACATCAGGCTGAGATGGTCGATGAAGTGCCTTCCAGCTCTCAAATGCTATAATTGTGCTGAAGTTTAATATGTACTCTTCCACATTCTCATTTACAACCCCCATCTCTGTGAATGCATATGCATTTCAAATTTTTGAAAATAAGATGCCATTTGACAATCTCCCCAGGGATCTGACTTGAAATCAGAAAAGGAAAGGAACATCTGATCTCAAGCTAAACTGAAAAACAGATCATACACTGGGCAGTATGCCTTAAGCTTGCAAAGTTCTCCACCCATGGGGAAATTTCAAATATCTTATTGGGCCAAAATCTCACTTTGATGCCTAGAGTCACCCTGCAAATACTCAATTGACTAACTTGCACTGTGGAGCCTTTGTGGTTCTATAGCAAGAATGTGTTCAGATTTTTAAAAGTGCTAAAGAGTCATAGGATGCCGTGCTTAAGTTTTGACTATGATCTTCTTAAAGATTGCATCAATGGTTTTGTTAGGAATGCTTTTGTAGAGACACAAAACCAGACCTACCTCCAATGTATAAATTGGGGAGCCCGAAGAAAGACCCTTTGGCTTCCCCTTCCGAAAACTAACTTCAACCTGGATCTAACAAATGCCTGACATTTCTACTTTTCTCTTTCTTTTAAAGTTTGGACACCCGTAAAGCCTTGACTTCTTCGGTCATGCAGCCCGAGGCCCAGCAAACCGTGAGGGAACATGGGCAGGTCAGTTTTGACTGGGGAAAGAGTAATGCCCCTGGAAAAGAGAGACTATTGGTGCTGCAATGAGAATCTTGCCTGCCAGAGGACAGTTTATGAGCAGCAGGCTCCAGGAAGGGCCAGAATATATTAAAGGACACGAGGGCACAGGCAAAGGAATGATCCAGAAACAAAGACATTCTTCACCTGGTTACAGTTCTCTGTCAAGCCAGGGTTCATGTTACCTTTGACACTGTAACACTGTCTTAGGTTTCGATAGGCTGTGGAATCATCTATGCAGGCATGCAGACAGTGCCAAGCTGAAAATCTCAGCACACAGTCTCTTCATGACTGGCAAGTCACTGCAGCTGCCATTTTCTGTTTTCTAAATAACTAACACTATGAGAGAAAGTGGAGGAGGCTGCTTACAAAGGCTGTCATCTCCTCAGTACTCCTTCCCATGCTTGAAACCAGAAGCATCTTCACTTGCTCTGTGGTAGATTTTTATAGACTCTTCAGAGGCACATAGAAAACTTGGAATTAGTGGTATGTGGTCTTGCCTTGAATCTCAGCATATTTGTCATCACTCACTTCCTAAATTATGCTATATTTACCTGACCAACAACAACAAAAAAAAACAATCTGGAAAATTAGATAGTTGTGCGTAGAAGAAAGAAAGAAGGGAAAGAAAGAAAGAAAGTGAGTAAGCAGTGGTATGACTAAATTCACTGCACAAAAGCTAGATATTTAAAATGATTCTGGTACATAAAGCTTATACAAGCCATAATTAAAATATTAGTATTGTCATCTTCTTTTGGAATGCTGTTTAAATTGTTGAACCTCAACATAGATAGGACGTGGAGAATTTCAAAATGATTAATAGAAAAATAAGGAAATGTTTAAAGCCTAAGAAATTGCGCTGAAAGAGTAAGGTTTTTACTTCACTAGTTTCAAGTTTTCTTGAGAGTAGGGTTAGTGCCTTGAGTTCATGTGTATCTATCTCTCCCATATATGCTTTTCACATAGTAGGTGTTCAATAAATACTTTTTGAATTTGGTGATGATATGGATACAGACAAGAGAAAAACTCAGAGTACATTAGATGAGTTCAGATTCTACTTTATGTAGCAGTTCCTATTTTTTAATTTGACAGTTTAAGATCAGAGTTATTCTTTCCTGAACATTTAAAACAAGTAGATTTTTTTTTGAATTTTTGTGCTCTTGCTGGACAAAAGATGAAATAGACCATAAAATTTTCCAGTGCCTCTTCAAGCCATATAATTAGTTTTCCCTTTTACATAACAGCAATAGGATATCACATTAAGATGAGTAACTAAACCAATTCATTGTCCATACTTAGTCAGAGTGATTTTTCTAACCTATAAATCTGATTATGTCATTTCCCATTTAAAACCCTTCAGTGACTCCCTATTGTCATCAGAATGACATCTAAACTCTTCTTAATGGCTTCCTCATTATTATTTGGCCCCTGCTTCCTGGCCCTAGCTCCTTCCCAACCTTACACCACCTCTCACTAGTCAGCATGCCCTTCTCCAGTTTTAACTCAACTGACCTACTTTGAGTTTCTGGAACACTCCATGCTCTCCCTTCCCTTTGGGCCTTTTCATGTTATTCCTTTTGCCAGGAGTTCTTTCACTAGGTCATTTGCCTACCTACTCACGCTTTTTTTTTTTTATTGCAAATATTTTGAATAGTTAAACATTACAAATAAATAAAGAAAATAATATAATAGAAGACAATTTATCTACAACCTAAATTTAAGAAATATTTACATTTTGCAATTTTAAAAACAATTAATTTTAAAATAATTAATGGAGTATGTGTTCAGGTACAACTAATATTGCATCTCCTTCCCTCTGCTTCCTTCCAATGAGGTAGCTACTCTCCTGAAAGTAGCATCTCATTCCCATTCCTGTGTTTGTACTGTTACTGTATATGTTTACTTCCATAAGTGGTGTATTTATAATTTGGTATTCTAAAGTAGGGAAAATAAAACTGCATTGTGCATAAAAACACAAAATATTAGTCAAATAAAAAGAGGTAAATATTCCATAACAGTATTTCCTTAAATTTCTTAAGTTTTATGGGTACACATACACTGTAAAGAAGTAAGAAACTAAGATCAGTAACAAGATAATGTAGTCTTAACTTCAAATCAGAATTTGGATTGAAAAACTGTAATAGATGTAAGTAGTATGAATAAATAGACATGAAATCATGAAATTTTACCCATTATTGAGGTTGTAGATGTGATATGTTGCTGTGTAAGAGTATCTCCAAAGCTGTCAGAAAGAAGAGAGATGAAAACAAATTACAATTCTTAAAAAGCTTATGTTAATAATGTATAATCACAAATCATTCAACTCAAGATTCGGAATTATAAAAGGACAATTTTCACAAGGCACTAGGAAGGATATGTTTCAATTCCAAGAGAGTCTTCATTTAAAGAGTTTTACTGTGGACTTTTGTGCTGTTTGTCTAAGTTCCAGAACTAATCTCAGCAGTGATTCAACCCTCACTCCATAAAAAGCATATCCGAAGACATTTCTTAATATAAAAAGCTTTTCTTTGACACACTCTCTCCTGAGAATTTTCCCTTTATGCTTTACCTTGATTGAAGTGAAACCACTATGATCTCCATGGCAGTAAGGATTACCCTACACCTGTGTTCATTACAATGATACCCTCTAAAATTAGGTAAAGAATTTCATTCAACACAGAGTTTTGTTACAAAATGTTTGCCTTGTTCAAATATGATACTTTTAAAAAATAATAGAAATTGAAAAATAAATAGAAACTATGTAGTTTATAATTCCTCCTGAAAAAAAAAAAAACAACAACTGCTCTTTTTCTCATTAAGTATATTTGTTCGGTGGTTAGTGAATTATACAAGTATTATTTTGGATTTTGTTTCTTAAAAGAGCTTTCAAACTCTTGGCAAAGAAACTCCAACTGGTTGAAACGTGTCTTCCTAAAGATTGCTAGTGACCAGGACCTGGTCCATTGGAAAATAATCAGCAGACAGAACAGCTGGCGAGAGGAAAGATTAACTATTCATTCTGTATGTTAAGAGAGTTTTACATCTCACATAGGATATGAAAAATGACAGTTAAAATGTTGTCTATCTAAAAGTAATTACTAGAAGTTTAATTTGATAATAAATTCTTTTGCCTTCTTGCAAAAAAATAATTATCTTCGAGTTGTATAAGTAGAAAAAATAAGATAATTAACTTCCCTCTACAACTTCAATCAGGAATGGGAAATTAAGTAAGGGTAAGTGGTTATGGTTTGGTGGGGTGCTCCCACTCCAGGCTTTTGAACACATAGATTTAAACCCTGGTCCACCACTGCCTGTATATTATCTTACTTGAACAAGTGAGTTAAATAAGCTACACCTTGATTTTCCCATTTTCAATAATAATAAACTTTCACAAAGTTAAAATGTGTGAGAATTAACTGATGGTTTATGAAGTCAAATAGCTTTAGAAATACAAGTATAGTTCTCCAATTTTTGATAAATATCAGCGTCCCAAAATGCAGCCCCCCCCCCCAGAGGAAAGTAGTTTCTACTACTGGGTGATAACCAGACAAGTACACCAAATTCTGAATTATTTGTATATGTTTCAGTTATGTTTTGGGGGCTCATCAAGAACCCACATTAACTTCTTGAATATTTAGATATAAAGATGTACTCTTGCTTCCTCTTACTTTTATAAGCCAAACTGTGGATTAGTAAGAGATATAGACAGATATACCCAGATTAAATAGTCCATACCTTTGAATAATCACTTTCTAGATATGCAAATTGCCGATCAGGTGATAAGCCACAATTTGAAGCATTCACACTTTTCTGAAATTATAAAGAAGTTGATTAGAATACAGAAAAAAAAAGAATACCCAGAGCCATGTAAATGTGTAGTTCTAAAAGGGTATCATATAACTGATATACTCCTACATACATATGCTTTCGATGCAATTTTTAAAAATGTTTACATGGTACTTACTGTATACAAAGAAATTTATTAAACACTATGGGAGGGAGATGTGAGAAATAGGACATACTCTGTGATTTCTAGAAGCTTAACATGTTAAACTTGAAAATAAGTAATGTATTGCAAGTTAGAAAGTTCTATTAAAGAGATATAAATACAGCATTGGAAAGCATTAAAAAAAGAAGTGTTTAAATCCAAATGAGAAGATCATTGATTGCACAGAGGAGGAGAGTATCATCTGAGCTTGATTTAAAACATTAGCCGGCTTTTGAGGGTGGAGAAAGCAGGAGGACTGAGAGCCCGGGAGATAGAACAGCATGCATCTACATTTCATAGCTCTTGTTTATTGAGCGTGTATTCGGTGTTAGGTGCCATCCTACCACATTCAAATGTTACATCACTTACCTCTTACAGTAACCCAGGGAGGGATTATTCTTCCTACTCTTTAGAGAGAGAAAATGAGGCACACCGTGGCTGGCGTAGTGAGGAACCTTATGTAACTTTCCATAACTAGGGAGTTGACAGAACCCGGAGCCTCAGTTTGCCTCTTGTAAGGACTGAGTTCTTGACTCTTGTTTCTTGCTACACTTTTTCCACAGAGAAAGAAAGATGCTAGGCGATTGAGAGGAGGCAAGGGCAGTTGTCTAATGTGACTAGAAGAGAGAATTTGAGAATTTAGTGGGAGATGGAGCCAAGAAGGCAGATCAGGTCCAGATCAAGTGCTGAGTGTTTGGACTCTGGTCCTTGATCAGTGAAGAGATGGCAAAGTTTTGAGGAGGAAGATGTTGCTGGATACATACCATGGTGACATTACTCAAAATGGTATATGATTCTCCTGTTTCAATATTGTAATATACTATATCATTATCTGTAGACTGATGAAGATATTCTTGTCCTTTAAACAAGAAGGAAAACAAACTTGAAATGATCTCCCTTAATATAAAATACATTTATAAGAAAGAGAAACCTCTCTTATTTCACAGAATTACTTTGTTTTTCTTCCCTATCCAGGACATTGCTTTGACGATTTAAAATAATAAGTTTGACAATGGAAGGGAGGAAAGGATGTTCTTTTCCACTCTCCACAAAAATGCCATATTTACTAGTAGCTGCCCTATTACGACCAGTTCAGGGTGCTTGGGGATAAAATTTTCTCTGTGTTACAAAGAAGATAAACAAGTTTAAAATGGTATGTTTGTTTTGCAATAAAAAAAAATACTTTACATTTAGGCTGTGTTTGATTTAGTTTAAAACCCATTTGATGTGCATTTTATTTTTTAAAGAGAAAAACTAAAATATTCAGATTTGTTTAGTTGTACTTAGATATAAACTATAATGTCATAAACAACTTAGTTGACCTTACTATTTGTTTGATTAGACTTATTTGACAACATCCTATTTTGGAAACTTATATGAAAATATCAATTTTGTGGCCTGGGAAAGACGTTTTATCAGGGTGGGATTTGTCCATTTCTCAGATTATCCAGATTGACAATGGAATTTCTCTTTTGGTAAAATTCTTACGACCTCTCTTAAATAGGTGCATATCTCCCATTCTGAAGAACCATACAACATACTCAGATTATTCTAGCAATGTACTCTCAACTTTTACTTTCTTGCTGAAACTCCAACTGGCATCATTACTGTTGGGTAAATGCAGTCCAAATGGTTCTGTCAAAGGTGCTTTGGTGGCCATTTGACTTATCTAAATAATTGCTCTTTCTTTCCATTTCAATGGATATGGCTTCCGTTACCATAGAGATGTGTTGGCACTAAAAATAAAAACAACACATATTTTTTTAAAACCCCAAAAGGTAAAGAAATAGTTCACTTACCTGAAATCCAGTTCGGGAAAAATGTTTTATAGGTAAATGTCCCATTTAAAATATCCTTCAGTGTGAGTGCTCTTGTTGTACTTCCTTCAGAGTCATGAACTTTGGGAGAAATGAAAAACATTATTACAAAAAAGATGATTAATAACTTAAATAAATCCTGAGCCTGTCTCTCATCTGTTCTGTCTCATGTCATGAAAAAGACCTGTCCAGGCACCTGGGTGGTTCAGTGGGTTGAGCTACCGACCCTTGGTTTCAGCTCAGGTCATGTTCTCAGGGTTGTGAGATCGAACCCCAGGTGGGACTCTATGCTGAGTGTGAAGCCTGCGTAAGATTCTCTCTGTCCCTCTCTCTCTGCCCCTCCCCCTTGCATGTGTGTGCTCTCTCTCTCTCTTTCTCAAAACAACAAAGAAAAGAAAAGACTTGCCATTGCTAAACACTTGTTTAACTTCTGTCTTAAGATCTGTGTTATCTCCTTAATAGATAGGCTAATGAAGGCCTGGAGAGGCAGTTTGCTTGCCTGGAAGAAGTATGATGGTGTCCAGGAGCAGCCAGGATGCTATTCAGGCAATGCAGAGTTGTCAGAGAGATGAGATGATGATCCAACAACTCTAGACCTTGCAAAGCTGGCATTGCAGACTAACCTAAAAACCTAGTCTTTTAAGCAGTCCATTGCATTTTGTCATAGATGCTTGGCTTGGGTTACTACTGGTTTATCAATGACATATTTTAGCATCCCCTTTGGTCAGAAGCGATCAGCCCAAATCTTTACCTTCAGACATCTCAAGAGAGGAGACATTAATGAACCTAGATAATTTCTTATCCTGACTGGGATTTTTATAAAGAGAAAGTGGGCCAGAAACCCCCCCCACAAAAGCTATATCATCTATGCGGATGATCTTAAAAATTCCAGAAGTAGAGTTTTGCCATATAAAGCCTCACCTAAGGTAGCTCACAGACCACAAGCAAATTTCACCTATATTTGAATCTTCCAAAACAATTGTGTTTTTCAAACATGACTCTATTCTCAGAACACATTCATTATAGAGCTCCTAAACAGTCAGATACACCAGATGGATAGTATGGCAACCAACTTCCAATCCTCCTTCATATCCATATTGCCATTCTCCATCCCTCCCACCCTACCTCTTCTCCAGGCCATCACTTACAGAACCAAAACTTAGAAAAATGTCCTATACCTTGAATAGCATTTGTGAATCTGGTATTTGCCCATGCAAAAATAAAACTGTTGAAGATGAGAGCTATAACTTTATCCTCCTGCTAAACTCTCTCATAGTTTTCCATAACTCTTGAGACAAAGACCAAAAATGTTTGTCTGACCTGTAGGCCCTAGCTGGTCTGGGATGGCCCTCCTGGCTCTTCTTGCCTCTCTCTCATTACTTTTTAGATTCCAAACATACAGGGTTTTCTGTTATTCAGATACTCATTTCTTTCTCCAGGGCTTCTCCTTTTTCCATCTTCTCCCCTCTCATTGCTTCTGTTCAGGCTCTAATGCTTAATATAAAAGACACTCCTCTGGGAAACCCCTTCTGACCCCCTGGTTTAGATCTGGTTCCCTTATTATACATTACCACAAACCACATTCTTTTTTAAAAAAGGCATTTGCCTTGATTTGCAATCTTTTTTTTTTAAAGATTTTATTTATTTATTTGAGAGAGAGAATGAGAGAGAGAGAGCACATGAGAG